TGTTATCGACGAGGCGATGGGATGATACGGGGAGGGGAAGCGATGAAACAATGGCCGCCGTTCCGCCATTGTTTTATTATTGTTGAAATTACTCGTTCGCGCGTTTCAGCAATCCGCTACACGTTGTGTCGATTAACTTTTCCACGCGTTACGTTACGTTTTTTTTACGCTCTCCCTTCCTTTTCCATTCTTATTGCCCATTTTATTTTATTTTATTCCCTCCACTCTTTCTTTTTTTCTATTTCGAAAATGAAAAATTGAAACACGAATCCGGATACTAAACGGAGCAAACGGAGAATCTCGAAATTTCATCAAAAACCTTTCTCTCGCGAGTCAATTCGCTTTGCAATAATCAACATAAATTAATACGTTAATTACGTTTCGAGGGAAAATTATCACGAAACGAATGTAACGTGACCTCGCGATTACAACGATCTTTTTCCATTAGCTCGAAAACTCGAAATACAGCTTCAACGTTGGCAAGCATTGTTTCCGCAGGGCGGAGAGAGATCGATCGATCGATCGATCCGCGTAATCGAATTTTATTTTCGAGGAAATTAGAAGAGAGATCGGAATTCGAGTCGATTTCTCGGGCAAAATCCCGTTTCGTTATATACGTTCGTTCGTTCCGCCCTTCGAAAGAGAATCCGACGAGTTTAATTCCCCCATTCGACGCAACACCCATCGTGACGCGTCGCGTAATAACGTAGCACGCTCGAAGGCTCGAGTAATAAGCCGTGTCGTAAATTAATAACACGGGAAACAAGGAAGAAATGCAACGATCGAATTTCCAAAACTCGAGGAAAGATTGATTTCGCAAAAACAAACGAAGATAAAAAATATTTCCCCCGCCATTCTCTGCAGCAAAAAAAATTAATAAATTCGATCGATAAAGTTGAATCAAAGTTCCCTAGATTCTCTTTTGATTTTGAAAATGTTCCGATATCCAAACCATCATCCAACAAGGAGCGGTGTAATCGTCCCTCGACAACGATAAATCATAAAAATTGGCAGTTTACCAAAAACTTTCGGACAAAAGTTGTGCTCCACTGCGTCAAGGAAAGTTAATCCTCGCAACGGTGTCGCGAAATCGCGTTTATCTCGCGTTCCGCTCCCCCTCCTCCTCGTAAGACACTCCTCGTAACAACTCGATCGGCGGAAGCATCGTCCCCCTCCCCCTCCCCCTCTCCCTGCCCCCTTTCTTACAGACACTCGCGCTCGTTCCATCCCATATTTGTCCATCGGATCGGATTGTTCAACACGATACAACGTCCTCCCATGCTGCCACACTATTATCAATCATCACCGTCACCATCATCACCACCGTCACCACCACTACCACCATCACCAAGGCCCCCACTCGGGGCTGCCCCGAGTCAATCGTCCTCGGGTTACGTTCAGTTCTTTCTTTTATTTTTATTTTTATTATTATTATTTTTATTATTATTATTATTATTATTATTATTAATATTATTATTAATATTATTATTATTATTATTATTATTTCGTGTGATTAACCTCCTGTTTATTTATTACCTAATATGCACATATTAAATATATATATTATACCGTTACCTTTACGTGAGCAAATAAATTGATTATTATATACCGGTTCGCGGATGGAGGGAGCGGCCGTGCAGTTAGCCTCTCCCGCCTCCACTCCTCCTTCGTCTCCTTCGTATTTTCACTGTCAGTGTACAAACAATGTCTCTCTGTGTGTGTATGCATGCACGAGTGTGCGCGTTCAACGCGCTCGCCGGCCCACCCAATGAGCTTCGTGTCTCGTTTTCCTTTGCTCCGCACTCTATATTGCACCCTTGCTCCCTCTCTTTCTCTCTCTCTCTCTCTTTCTTTCTCTCTCACATTCTCACTCTCTCTCTCTCTTTCTTTCTCTATCTCCGTTCCTTTTTTTTTTTTTTTTCTTTTTTTTTGGTACATGTGGCCAAACGATGGACGTTCGACGTGGTGGATCATCCTTTCGATCGATAAACGTTCGAATCGAGCACGCTTTGAGCGTCGCGTTCGAACCGAGAGAATGGTCGATGCTTTTGAAAGACTGAATGGCTTAAGCGTGAGTTCGTAGAACTTTGAGGTTTGTTCTTTTTTTTTTTTTTTTTCTTTTTCTTTTTCTTTTTTCTCCTTCCCTCCCTCCCTCCCTCCCTTTCTCTTTTCTCCGGAAGTTCTCGGGTACCTTGAAAGACTGGTGGAGGAAAGCATTTTTCGAGACGTTGGAACGATTCGCTCGAGGACGTTAGCGCGAAGCACTCGAGAAGACGTAAGAAATATCAATGTGTGTATACCAAGGCATGGCGTATCGAAATAAGGTGTTCCCCCCCTTCTTTCTCTCTCTCTCTCTGTCTGTCTCTCTGTGGCGCGAGAGAAACAACGGTTTACCGGCATCGACGAGTTTCCAACGTCTCGAAGCTTTCGTGATTTGTGTGTTATCCATTTTGGGCCATTGAGGATCCTATCACGCGTTCCCAGGAGCGAGTGAATCTCAACGGGGAGACGAGACGCGTGTCGCCCTTCGTAACAGGAGTAATAGGATTTTCGGCGTACCAGTGCGCCCACTTCCGAATAACATCCGATAATCTCCTCGTCGTTGGAACGCACAGCCGGGAAACACCCTTCGAACCCGTTCTCATTGTTCTTTCTCGTATCCCTCCGGATTCGAAATGGCTCGCGTCCACTTTAACGAAGCGAAGTCGCAAGCGAAGAATAAACAGTCGATGATCCTTGCCCCCAACTCCCTTATCTCCCTTCCTACGATTTTCTCCCTTCTCCAAGATTTGCCCTCGAGCGTCGAGATCGACGTATATAAAATAAAATCGCGTGGAATAAAGAGGAACTTTGAGAATTGGTTCGAAGGATTCTCTCTCTCTCTCTCTCTCTTTCTCCCTCTTTCTTTCGATGAAAAACGAAAGAGGCAAATTTCATTCGAAATCGATGGAATCATCGGATGGATCGAAGATGATCGATAGATCGCCGTACCCTCCCTCCCCCGATATTTTTTTTATCAAATAGGATCGGTACCGATACGACGATCGTCTCCCTCGGTCGTTTTCGCGAATTTCCCGTTCCAACGAGGAGAGATCGCCACGGATTTCTCACGTTCGTCCATCACGCGGCGAATTATAGACAGACAGGAAGATAGAAGATAGAAAAAACGGTTTCTGGACGAATCTCGATTGGTCCTCACCCCAAGGAAGAGGAGAAACACGCTGATAGCGCCGCGCCCTGGTACGTCGAATCTTCCTGCCAAACAACATCTCCTCCCGCCCTGCCGTTTCCATTCTTCAAACTTATCGATAACCTCCCCAACTTCCTCCCCCTGAGAACCGATCGGATCTCTCAAGAGGCCGTTGCTCCTAAAGTTGGCAGTTGTTTGCGAGCTTCTCCTCTCGCGATCTTCTCCTTTCTCTGTCTCTCTCTCTCTCTCTCTTTCACACACACATTTTCTCCCTCTCTCTCTCTCTCTCTCTCTCTCTCTCTCTCTCTCTCTCTCCCCGATATATTTCTTTGGAAACACGCACGACGAAGAAGGATATCGTCCGCTCGATATCATACGATGGAATTACTCGATCGATGACTGCCAGATAAACGCGTGCTCGCTGGAACAACGTTCGTTCACACGCCTGAGGCGGATTCACCGAGGAATTTTATGCAACGGGATTAATTGCCTGGGTCACGTCGAAAAGAGAAACTTTTCGATACTTGGTTATACGAGAAATAAATAAGAAGTTGTCGAAAGAGGGAAGGAAACCGTGGTGAAAAAAAGAAAGACGGAGAAGAAGCGAAGGGTGTTTCCCTTCCTCCTTTCTCACCTCCCTTCGTGTCCTCCCCCTCGCGTTGCTCGAGGGGGAGAGGGCAGCGCGCGTCGTTTCCTGGCACGATAATCACCGGCTCGACCGACTCCCATTCTTCCTCGTCCCGTTGATAATGGCAATTCTCCTCCTTCGTCGTGCGCTCCATGCGAGACTCCCCCCCCTTTTGGTTCCAAGCTCCTATGTTCGTGTGCTCGGTTGTGCGTGTCGGCGTGTGTCGTGCCCGCGCGAGCGCGGCGCACCCCCGTGATTATACGATGTGTCGAGAATATGGGGATGAATATATCGCGTTGTGTGTGTGTGTGTGTATGTGCTCGTACGTTGTTGTGTGAGATCGTCGGCCGAGTATATCTACGCACGTTGACAGATTGTGGCGTGTTTACGCACTACGCGTGCGCATACGCGTGTACGCGTGTTATCTTCTCTCGTCGATGCATTCTCTGCTTTTTCGTCCTTTTTTTCTTTTTTTATTCTTTTTCATTTTTATCTCTCTTCTTCTTCTTCTTCTTCTTCCCCCTCTCCCTCCCCCATTCTTCGTTTTAACCCTTCTCGCCACGTATAAATTGTAACGCGCGGTCCTGCGCAAATGTTTACCACCAAAAATGTGTGTTACGTATGCGCGTGTAGATGCGCACAAAGATGCATGACAAAGAAATCGCGGGTATCGTCCCTCTCGTAACCGATCTCCTCGTAATGTGCGCGTACGAGTATATTATATATCTGCGTGCGTGTATATATGTATATACGTGTGTTAAGTGTGTCAAGTAATGTATGCCTTGTGTGTGTTTTTGTATGTGTGTGTGTGTCTCTTAAACGTCTTCTTATATAAAATCGGCAGTTCGGGCAGTTCGACGTCTCGCCGCACGACTCTAGCCTTACGTATGAAACCAGATTTACAAAAATACGTTGCGCGTGTGTTTCGCGTATTTGGCACTTTTTCTCCCCTCTCTTACCCTCCCCTCCCCAATTCCTCCTCTCGTCTCTCTCTCTCTCTCAATAATCTCGGCTAACCTCTTTCGTTCTCATTCGCTCATCGCTACTCCTCTCTCTACTCTACTCTTCCTTACTCCTCTCCTCTCGTTCCTCCACGCCATTCTCTCTCTCTCTCTCTCTCTCTCTCTCTCTCTCTCTCTCTCTCTCTCTCGCCTTCCCTCCCCTTCTCAGTACTCAACACTCAACGTCTCCCAGTCTCGAAACAGTCTCAGGATCGAATATATCCATAGGATAAGATCCCCGTGCTCGCAAGTTCGGAGAGGGAAAGATCGACGCCACCTCCTCGTGGAATCCTCCTGTCGCTCCTCGCGTAACAATATCGTTTCCTGGCCGTGTTCCTCCGTGAAGATCCGATCATCTCTGGCGGCAGCGATCGAGAGAGGGTCCTGTTGCGCGTCGACGCGAAAATCGGCAGTTTGGATGATGGGCGGCGGCCGTTGTACGACAACGGCCACGACAACGACCACGATTATGGTGACAGCGGCGGCGGCGGCGGCGGCGGCGGCAGCGGCGAGGATGATGGCGAGAACGACGACAACGACGACGGCGACAACGACGACGACGACGACGACGACGACAACGACGACGACGACGGCGACGACGGCGACGGCGATGACGACGATGATGCCGGCAAAAATAGTCGCGATGACGACTGCGACGACGGCGGAGCAGCTGCCGCTGTGGACGCGGCGCGGGGCCGCGCGGGATCGTCGACTAGTCCTCCTCGGGACCCATGTTCATCAGCATCATCTTCTTCTTCGCGATCTTGCTATATTTGATGTCGATCGGCTTCGTGGTGTCGTAGAGGCTCGGCGCCTGGAGAATGATCAACACCGTGCCGAGCACGCAGGCCACCGTGAATATCCAGAGGAAGATCCGGTCGAGCACCATCGCCACGTATTTCCAGTCCTCCTCCACCTGGAAACAGAATTCATATCGGGTTCGCGTCAGCTTGATTCGTCGTTAAATTATCATTTCGGTATTTAATCCAAAAATACACGAAACGTCCTTCTCGCTCGTTGAATTCTTCACGACGGATGTCGTCATTGATATCGTCACACCCCTCGTTATTTCGCAACGAATCGTGCGCAACACCGTGTACACGCCGTGAGATCGGTTGGAAAAGGGGATTGAGTTATTAGGGGAATTGAGAGATCGCGAAGGGACGAGAGTTCGGATACCGTCGTAAATATAATATCTCGTTCGACGAGACCGACCGTTAGTCCCTTTTACAAGGTGGAGGTTGAACATTCCTCCCCTTCGTTCCAGACTCCTATGTTCGGGGAGGAGTGAGAAACATTCCTCTCGAGTTTTTCCTCCACGCGTATCATCTCTTAAAATGTGTAAGGAAAAATCCAGCACACAGCACCGGTATCTCAGGGAACTTTCCGTATCTAAGGAGCTAAAAGGCGAGTCCTATCTTTCCAACTTTCAATCGAACAGATCTTTTACACGCGACGTATATATAAAAGGGGAGAGAGAGGGAAGAGGGAAGGGACAACCGATCCTTCGTCTAAAGGGGTGTATCGACTCCTTTCGATTCCTTTTGACAAGGGAGGAAGTGGACGATAAAACAGACACCCGATACTTTTATCGCACTTTCCCCTCAAACGCCTATATATATCTGCCTCTTTTCAATTCCTTTTCCAACTGGTTCCACGCATACGATGCTTTTAGTCTCGATAGACCAACCCTTATTCGATACCCTTCCAACATCCTTCGCAAATAGATCGATGGATCGAGTGACTCGAGTCTACGAAGAAAGGAAATAAGGAATAAACGCGATCTTGAAAAATTTGTTTAATCGCAATATCTTCTTCTCTAAAATTCCATCTCCTTCCTATTTGATATTGAAAGAACCAGAAGATGATATGTCATACCACCAATTCTTTTTCGCTCCTTCCTTATCATGTTCGAACTTTCAAATTGACAAATCCATCGAGTTGAAAGGGTTAAGAGAATTTCTGAATCGTCGTGAAAAACGCGACGATGATCGAACTTTTGAACTCTCCACGTATTGTATTTTAATTTTCGCTGTTTATTGTAAACTTGCAAACACACAAGAGTCAGTCTCGCTAACGAGTCCATTAGCAGGTCGAGAAAGAAAGAAACGCGTCTCTCTCTCTCTCTCTCTCTTCCATCCTATAATTACAGCGTCGCATCGTGTTCCAACGCAACGAACCGTGCACAGAACCACAGACTTGCACGACTTTTTTCCCACGAGCTTGACTTCCCTCCACTATTTTACCATTTCTCGCGAGCGACTGGGTGCCAAGAGGCAATTTCGTCGACGCTCGATGTCCTTTCCCGGGGATCCAGAGATCAGTATCCAAGCCCCTATCTCCGCTATATCTTTCTATTCCCTATTTTCTCTCTCCTACTCCCTCCTACTCGTTGGCCATTCACATTCAAAAACCAGACTCAGGTTCACGAGACCATCGCCTTCACCCGAACGCTCCTCGGTTTTTACCCTATTGCGACAGAGCGAAACTGTTATGAAATGCGAACGACGAAATTCAATTGCCCGATTTGACACCGATTCATGGATTAGAAAATTTTCCTACGCATTTTTCCATCGATGTATCGTGTTTCCTATTTGAAAGAGGAAAAAAATAAAAAGAATCTTTAGATCGTCGAACATTTGAACACTGATCAATTTTTCGAATCAGGAAAATCGGCGTTAAATTGCTTTCACGATTGTGAAGCAATGATAACTTGTGTCTAATTGCACATAGGAAGAAAGTATCGATCTAGTATAATTTCCCAATATTGCTCGAATTAAAACGCGATTTTTGTAAGCGTCGAAGACATCTAGAAGAAAAGACACGATATAGGAAGCAATATTCGAAAGTTCTAGATTTTTGCGAATAGAAGAGTTCACTTTAAAGAAATATACTTCAGCCGATTTTTTTTCGTTCAATATACAGGATATTCCCAAAGCTATTTTCATCTGGCACCTTTCTTTAGTGCAGTTCTCACTCCCGTGCAGATTTGAGAATGATGTACAGGGATCGTGTAATATTTGCCCGGGAAAGAAAGCACATGCGGAAGGACATTAACCGAATTAAGCGCGGTTAACACGGGTCACGCGGCTAGAGGGTTCACCACCCCCGAGAATATGGACGCACAAAGCCCTTTTCGTTCGTTTCCAGCCGTTCCAGTCGGTCGACGACGACAAGACGTCACGTCTCCTCTTTCAGTTATTCCCTTTCTTTCTTTCCTTTCTTCTTTTCCTTTTCTCTTTTCTCTTTTTTCTCCCCCCCCCCTTTTTTTTACGAATCCACGAGGAGAGAGAAAAGGGCGTGTCGCGCTAAAGGAACGGCGATTCTTTTTTTCGGGAACAAACGAGGGAACATTGGCGGAGCTTAACGAATCCGCGTGGACGCGACAGGCCACGCACCTGTTCCCCCGGAAGTTACGTGTTTGACCGCCGACCCATAAAATCCGTTCGAAACACTCGTTTCGCCGCGTCAGTTCTTCGACCGTTTGCCCGATTTTTTGCAGACGCGCGAAAATGCAGTTTTCAGCGTTTTCGAAAAGCGGTTCGTAGATACGTAAAGTGATATTAAAAAAGGAGCTTTGAGAATCGAATCGCGATGGTTGTTGAATTATTATTAGAGTATATCGGTTTCGATTCGGTTTCGGGCGAAGTATCGAGAGTGAAGTTTCTAGCTACGTTCGAAAAAATTAAATGGAATTTATCGAGTACGTAGTTCGCTGTTATTAATCGATCCTGTATCAATTTTCGATTTCATCGTTCTCGAAGGAACAACAACAAGGGAAATCTTATCAAGTATATATCGCTTGACGTTATCTAATGGGAGTGGAACGTCGAAAGGAGGAATTCGTTTGTGAATAACAGAGTAAAGAAAACGTGCGTGGGGGAATGAAGAAGAAGAGCGGGGAAAGAACGTGCCATAAAGAAAATTGAGGAACAGAGGCTCGATCGATACCGTTCTCTATAGTTTTCCACGAGTAGCGAATACGCGTCAGGAATATCGGCGCCGCTTGAGATATTGCACGATAACGAATAATATAGTTCCATAGTTTTCTCACAACTTATAACCTCCCCCCGATCTAACATTTTCCTTCCTATTTTTCCCCGAATACAATACGAAAAGTATTATATATACCTGAACAAAATAACGAACAAATATTAATAATGACTCTATATTTTTCGAATTTGTTTCAAATTTCTTTCCTTTGTTTTTCTTTTTTTTCTTTTTCTCAAAAAACAAACCAATTTCAATCTAAATCTAACCTTTGATACTTTCCAAAACTCTTTTCGTTTTCCAAACAAATTATTAACGATAATTCTTCACTTTTCAAATCAATCTGAGATTTTTAGAAAGAAATCTATGCGAAACTAATTTTAATTTAAATCTTCGATACTTTCCAAATTCCTTTCGTTTTATTTTTTCCAAACAAACTGTTAACGATAATAATTCTCCACTTTTCAAATCGATCTCAGATTCTTAGAACGCACGAAGGAAATCTATGCGAAACTAATTTTAATCTAAATCTTCGATACTTTCCAAATTCTTTTCGTTTTATTTTTTCCAAACAAACTGTTAACGATAATAATTCTCCACTTTTCAAATCGATTTGAGATTTTTAGAACGCGCGAAGGAAATCGAAATCTATATAAAACCAATTTTCATCTAAATCTCACCTTTGATACTTTCCAAATTCTTTTCGTTTTCCAAACAAATTATTAACGATAATTCTTCACTTTTCAAATCAATCTGAGATTTTTAGAACGCATGAAGGAAATCTATGCGAAACTAATTTTAATCTAAACCTTTCGTTTCATTTTTTCCCAAACAAATTATTAACGATAATAATTCTCCACTTTTCAAATCGATCTGAGATTCTTAGAACGCGCGAAGGAAATCTCTGCAAAACTAATTTTAATCTAAACCTTTCGTTTTATTTTTTCCCAAACAAATTATTAACGATAATAATTCTCCATTTTCAAATCAATCTAAGATTCTTAGAACGCGCGAAGGAAATCGGAATCTATGCGAAACCAATTTTAATCTAAACCTAACCTTCGACACTTTCCAAATTCTTTCCGTTTTCCAATTTCCAACTAATAACGATAATACTTTCGTTTCATTTTTTTCAAACAAACTGTTAATAATAATTCTCCACTTTTAAAATCGACTCGTGGTACGACTCGCGGAAAATGGAAATCCGAAAGCGCGAAACAATTCGCAGGGCAGGAAGTGGCACAGTCGCGCGCGTTCTCGCGTCCACGCTTGGTTCACGCGGGCCACATTTGGCACGGAGCGGAACTTCGCCGCAGTGCGTTCCAACGGCGGACAGCTCGCGTTCGATAATTTATGAACGCCGCCGCCGCGCGACTTTCCGCATCCTCGAGCACCCCTGCCCCACACCCCGTCAGCCCCCGCCGGGGGTTGACTCCTCCCAAGCAAGCGGAAGTCGCCCCGGTTGATGCGGCCAGCGCGCGGAAATCAAGGCATCTCCGGGACTCGAGGGCTCGATATATCGAATTTGGCCACGGCCCGCCTTTGGCTCCGTCCAGATCCCGATTCCGCTCGAGATACGAGAAGATCGTTCGAGATAACTATGCGGCAAACCGCTCCTCGATACGACATGGGAATTCGGAAAAATATGTGGAAAGTATCGTGGATTCGCCCCCTTTTTTTTTGGAAATTTTCCCATTTCCTATTTTTTCCTATTTATTACCGGGAGAAATTATCGGGGAGATATTCTGGCATCCTTAACTCCTTTCGAAATTTATCATCTAATGATAGGTATGGTATAATTTTTCCCAGTTTTTCGAAGGAATGTTCTAAAAATAATCGAAAATAATACGTTGCCATTGCCAAATCGGTGATAATTTCCATAACGAATGGTACTCTTCTCTAATGAAGATAAATATATCACATTTATATTTCTATTAAAGAAATCGAAACGTAACGTCGCATATACAGGGTGTCCCCGAACCAAACGATCAAACTATATATATAAATCCGCTTTTTTGTAAAAAAAGTTGCAATAAAAATGTGACACTAAAAGTCAACAGCGAGTCGATTGGCCCCCCGAGATTTTTATTTTTATGTGGGAAACAGTGAAAGAATATTGTGTATCGTTCACTCGCGGCAAGAATCGAATACGAAGGATTAATAATAACAAGATAAAGATGAAATTTGATCGAGAGTGATATATAAATCCCTAAGATGTTCGAAACGTAATCCTTTTTTCAATGTAACGTGATATTAACATTCCTTTTTTATTTTTACTCACGGAACGCACAGTTCGATCGTTTAAACCCTGTACACAACGTTACATCGAAAAATATAGTATCGTATTTTGATTATATTTTCCAAGTTCTCGTCACGACACCGACGAATCCGTCGTTATTCGAGACGTATATTTCGATTGGTGAACCACGTAGCTGAAACCATATCACCTCACAGATGGTTCAAAATTCCATCTTCCATTCTCGCCCTGTTGGGAACGAGGCAAGCTCGAACTCGAACTTGTACGAACTTGTTTCACGGTGTCGCGACAGACAACGCGAACGGGGTTCACGAGTCGATCGTTTTTCGTTGCTTTTTCCAAGCGAGAGGAGAGAGGGAAGTCTCTGGTTTGGCTCCACGATGAAATTCGGGGGAAGAAATGGCGGAGATTTGAGATCTCCTTGGAAAGGAGAAGTCATCGCTCCCCCAAGGGACGCGAATAAACTCGATACCACGATGGATCCAGAAAAGTGTGCCGCGCAAATATGAAATAGGGGAGCATAAATTCGTTCGAATTTACGGCCGGCCCCGGACAAACGTCTCAACTTCGGGACGCGCTGGGACCGCCGTCAACGTCAGAATCAATTTCCCAAGTTTTACATCCGCCCAGCAAAGGAACTTTCCCACCGAAACTTTCCTCCTCGCTACGCGTTTATCATTTCTTTTTCTCTTTCTTTCTTTCTTTCTTTCTTTTTTTTTTCTCGAAATTTCATCGATCCCTGTTCCTTTCCTGTACTTTCTACTTTCTCGTACAAAATGATATAATGATACGTTATATATTCTATCTCGAGTCAGAGGACTTGTGTTCAACTGGAGCAAGTTGTCCGATTTTTGTCAGAACGTTTTCTTTAAAGTACACCTCTAAGGATTATTATTGCATTACCTCAACAATCTTCTCCTTTCTTTTTTTATTTCGCCAACCACGGCGCCTGGCGAGTCACGCGTCTCCCACGATAACAAGTTTTCCCTCACCACGCGTCGAGAAGTTTAACAGGTTGCCAAGGATATGCAACACGAAGAAGGCGGAGCAAGTGTTGGCTGGGAAGATTGATGCGAAACGATCGCGAGCGAGAAGCTTATCGCGAGTACTCTTGGTCGGATGAGAGCGTGGGTCCCTTCAAGATTTTTGCATCCAAGTGAAAATTGTCGATTTTTGTTATCGTTCTTTTTCGGCTTCTCCTTCGAAAATCTTGATTAGAGTAGCTTGATTCATTTTTTTTTTTTAAGGACGTTACAAAGGAAATTACAAAATTCCAATGAAAATATTGTTCGAATGGCCCGTTCGAATTCCAACGATTTCGACGGCAGAAAGCGATCGGAAACGATGGTTCAACGGTATGATAAACGTTCGATCGTGCGAAACGCGATCGATCCGCGACAGAGCGTAACTCGTGACGCGTTACGTTACAGGATACCCGACGCAAGCCCACGTTTGGCTCAGGACGAATACCCGTGTCAAAATTAATGCGGATACTAGCCGCCTCACAGGTCAATCCTCTATCGTGGAATATCGTGAATATCCTCGTTGCGATTATGTATTACATTCCTATATCGGCCAATCGCTTATTATTTTCGATGATTATTCTCAAAAGATAGACGAGAATATATCGTATATGTGTTTGAACGTAATTGACAGAATCGAAAAAAGATTTCCTATCCCGATAGGCGATATTTTAATTTAAGATGGAGAAAGGAGAGCCTCGAGTCGTTTCCTCGGATCTCGGAATAAGAAATAAGAGAATACGTTCGATCGTGTTTGTATATACACATAATATACTCACGCTCTCGAACTTGTCCTTGTTCTTGGCGTGCTGAGCGATAAACCTGGCGTCGTCGATGGTCTTCTCGATCTCGCGAACCAACGGCTTCTCGAATGTGGGGCTGACGTCCTCGTGAACGTATGCGGGGCTGGCCGGGCCGAAGAGGTCGTCGTCAGCCCCCGGCAGTGGGAGCGAGGGTAGGGGCTCCTCGAAGCAGGGCGCTACGGTCGTGCCCACGGTGGCCACCGCGCCAAGGTCGTATCTGGTCGCCGACGGTGGCAGACCGTGGGCAGGTATCTCGTACTCCCCGCTGAACCTGTTGCCGTAGTACGCGTCGTACTTGTCAGTCTCTTGTACATGGAACACATCGGTGAGCATGCCCTCGGCCGGTTTCCCGTTGGCCGCCTCCACGTCGTCGTCGTCGTCGTCGTCGTCCCCGTCGTCGTCGTCGTCGTCCTCCTCGCCGACCGCCTCCCCGTTGGCGTTCATCGCGCCAACCCCGGCCCCGTTCCTCCCCACCACCACCACCTCGTCCTCCTCCTCCTCCTCCTCCTCGTCCTTCTTCGGCCTCTCGATGAGAAGGAACCGCGGCAACACTTGTATGAACACCACCCTCACCCACCTCGACATACGGTGGGTGACGGGCGATCGAAAGTTCACGTTCAACACGGCTATCGTCACCACCACGGAAAGGGTGACCAGCACCATGGTGAACAGTAGGTACTTGCCGAGCAACGGCACCGTTAACGACGTGGGCGGTATTATCTCGGCGAGCAGTAGGAAGAACACCGTCAACGACAGCAGGATCGAGATCGAGAGCGAGACCTTCTCCCCGCTGTCGCTCGGCAGGTAGAACACCAGCACCGAGAGAAAAGATATGCCCACGCACGGTATGATCAGGTTCACCGTGTAGAAGAGGGTCTTGCGGCGTAGGGTGATATTGAACACGATATCGGGGTAGGGCTCCTCGCAGCATATGTAGAACGCCTCGTTCCTCACGGCAGGCACTTTTATGATGTCCCACTCGACGGAAATGTAGTAGTCGGTCAGGTCGATCCCGACCTCGATTTGGTTCGAGTCTTCGGTCTGGGCAAGGTGTCGCAAGTCGACCTGCGCAACAAAACCAACAAAACGATTACACTACGTATGTGTCTTCCCAACTTTCTCCCTAATTCGTCCGGAAACGCGCCAATTAAATAATCCCCTCGTTCATTCGAAATATCTCCAATTAATTGAGATGCTTCGGGAAAGAAAGAGAGTAACGTGTACATACACATATATAGATTTCCTCTGGTGTACGTGACTAAGAGTGGAACGGGGACGAGAAGAGAGGAGAAGAAGGAGTGTGATGAATAATAAGGGTGCATCTCGCCTTAGAATGCGCCGTCCTAACTGGGAAACGAGGTACGCCTCGGCCAAAAATAAAGCGACCATTCCGAGGCCCGTTTACGAACTTTCGGATCGAGAATGAAAATCCACCCGATATTTTCATCCGATTTTATATTTTCCCCTCCGTTTCGAGATCCGATTGTTTGGAGAGAGAGAGAGAGAGAGAAAGGAGGAGGAGAAAGGATCAGCCGGAGAAGAAAAGTCGATGATAGCGAACGAAAGAAATTGGATACCCCTAATGGGCGCGGGCTAAGGTGGATTTCACTCCGCTCCCGTCGTATCCGGGAATGGGGATAAACTCCCCTGGCGAACGGAGCCAAATCTCTCTTCCATCGAACTTCTACCCCCCTGGCTAGACCTCTCCTCGATCCCTCCTCCACCCCCTCTGCACTTTTCTCGGATCTTTCGACAGCTTCGCCGAGAAGATCGCCGCGCGTTAAACCGCACTCTCCTTTCAAAACTGCTTCTCTAGAGACTGACGCAACATCTCTCACACATATTTCTCCTCTCACGAGACTTCAAAGTGGTTTATCTCTCGTTTGACGCGTATTCTTCGTTTCAACTCTCGTCGAAACTCATAATTAATAGCAATATCTCAATATCTTCGAAACGATAGTTGGATAGGAGCACTCCTTGATTAATATAAGGAAGGTGGAGGAGGAATACATTCCGTACATTCGAATATTATATCTGTTAATCATCCGTCTGAGCGATATCGATCCCTCCTCGCCGAGTATCGGGCGTATTTACACGGCAAGGGTTGAATAGTCGCGCAAACTACTGTGTCTATTCGATCCATCGATCGAGCCCTAATTGAGCGGGGGAGGGGAGGAAGAGAAAACGCGAGATTGTTCGACGGTTATATCCATCCAGACGGTCGACTTCGACGACGACTTGTTGAGCCTCGCGATTCGAAACCCTTGGCGAAGAGAAACGACGCGCTCGAAGTAGATCGAATCCTTCCCTACTTTTCCTTCGAGCGAATCGACGCCGAGTCGCGTTATAAGTTTATGCCTCGAAAAAAGGAATCCTATCCTATCGTATTCCTCTGATAATTACCATCGTGGAAGGGGTTGAAGTTGAGTCGAGCGGAATTTTTATTGCACGCCTAACAGGCGAATCCTTAAAGCCTCCCATTCCTGCAATTTTGTCAACGGCCGTATTTCGTCGAATGTCGAACCTTGTTTGCTCGTTACGTGTATATATATTTATATATACATATATATATAGAACGGATCGATAGCTTCGGTCTACTCCCCGAGTATTTGCGCCGCGGCAGAAATAGAAGGGTAATACACTTATCGTCGGTGTTTATGAGCGTACGTGTTTTGTTTTTCGATATACCGACTATATTTCCACGCCTCTCCACGGGTTTATCAACCAACGTTCCCTAATTATAACCAAAATTTTTTTCCTGCTAGGATATTTCCATCCCTCCCCTCTCTTCATTCTTACAATACGTGCGAATTTTATCATTTATGAAGATATTATATATATTATATATATATTCGTATGTTTATATAAAAATATTTTATTTATTAATTAACCATGTTTTAATATCCCCATTCGCCTCTCGAAACGCTTCATCGCCACTCCATCGTTTCGCGGAACGTTTCCTCGTCATCTCGTTATCAAATTCGAGCGACAGTGTCGTTCCGGGAAAAAGCATGGAACACGCGCGCCCCATATTTCTTCGCTTCTGGCCGTTGTCAAAACGGATTACGCGATCGAGAGCGGAGGAGAGCGGAGGTGGATCGAAATGGGAGAAATGCTCGAGTGGTCCACGGTTGGAAGTGGTCGAGGGGGATGGAACGGAATGGATATTCCGCCGTGGAACGGTTTTATCGTTCAGGACGCGGGATTTATTCCCGCGATGGTTGTTCAAATCCACCAACAGCTGGATTTGTTGGGACGGTGGATAAATCTGTCCATCCACGGGAGAAGGTCAACGGATGGTGCCTCCACAGGAGGATGAGGGGAACGATTTCGATCCACCCCTATCGCGAAATTACTCTTCCTTTCCACTCCTTCCTTTCCTCAAATTTTTTGAGAATATTCGCGCTGAGGAATAACAAATCGATCTCTTGATGCGAATTATTAGAAATCTGTTTTGGAATATCGATTATCGCCTTTCACCTCCTCCTCTTCCCGTTAGTTTAATCAGCGAATTTATAAAGTATATATTTCCAACAATCGATGTAGCTTCGCTTTGGTGATCAAACGAGAATCGATAGACATCCGAGCGTTTGCAGAGGATCGCTTCGTATATCGATCGAGGGGGATGGAATTCGAGAGAGGGAGGAAAAAATGTGTAAAGGCACGCATCCGTCAACCGGACGGGGGAGGGAGGAAAAGTTTCATCACCGGTGGCGAGAGGGGAGAAGACCGGCGAGGAGCAGGGTCGATGAATCGTGACGTTTTCCCGATGCCTGGCTCCAGTGTCGAGAGATTAGACACGTCTATATAGGGGCGTGAAATATTTCTCGCGGGTAGAAAGCCTAAACCCCCGTTTTAGGCTGCCGGAGATGTTTAAGACACTGAGAGGATGTTTCGAAGCTGAAAGCCGCTAAGTGCAGCCGATCAATTATACCAGATTTTCCTTTTCAACGCCTTCTCTACTCTCGTTCCTTCCACTTTCTCTCCATGTATTATTTCACCCGGAAGAATTTCTTTTCATCCATTTTAATTCCCAAAGTTTCTTCTTTTACTTTCGAAAGATGATATTTATTTGTTGCGCGGGAGTAACGTAGAGAAATAACTTTGTCAATTTTGAAACTGGGAGGCACAAAGATGCTAGGACAGAAATATTCGTAAGGATAGATCGAGATGCTCAAATGGATAATAACGAAAATTTGTTTTCTAATTTATCTCCTTTCCAATTATTAAGCATAAAATTGCTCACTTTGGATCGACAAATCTCGCGTCAAACTGGAAAATTTGATTATCTGGACGATTCTTAAGATCGATTTTGAAGGAAGACCTAGAAAACGTCGATTCTTCGCGCTTCTCTTTCTTCCCTTAAAACGAATGTTAAAATAAAAGAGAAATGAATTCTCGAGTCCATTGGAAGATCTCGCGTTTTCCAACGCTTTTCCATTATTGGACACGAGTTTGGGATAGGGAATGTTATTTATAACGATATCGAGAAACGATGAGAAATTAACGCGGCGACTTCGAAGCTAACCTGAAGAACGAGAAAGAAACTTCGAAAGAAGCCACGAAGAGGTAGAGACAACTTCCTCCAAGATCCTCGAGGATACTGGAAAGTTTTTATTTTAAAGTTGGGTAGTAGTGAGCAGAAAGTGGAAAAACGTAAAATAAACCCAATGTTTTCACAAATAATTCTATATCTACTTTTATACGAGTTTGATCCCGATTACCCAACGAGCCGTACGAGTCTTTCCAATTAAAAATCTATCTCCCCAATTTTAAATTATTCAACTTCATTCCCCTAGTGAAATTTTGTGCCTGCTCTCTGACGCGTTTTCGACGCGTAGAACAACGTGGAATTCCAATTTCCAGCTCGCGTTCGGAGAAAGAACGGCGACCACCGAGCCGTTGGCTAAGAAATTCATCGAAGATTCTGCACCGGCATGAATTATTCGTTATATGCAACACGAAACACGGGGAGCCGAGTTCGAACCGTTTCAGAGCAAGGATTGGCGGTGGTGGGCTCGAAAGAAAGAAAGAAAGAAAGAAAGAAAGAAAGAAAGAAAGAAAGAAAGAAAGTAGCAAAGGGGAAACTGTCAGCGCACAACTTCCGACTTCTAATAAATAGTTTAGACGCGACATGAAACGTTTCGAGGGCAACGTTTTCTTGGCAACGGCCAACTCTTGCCCGGAATTCCATCACCCTTCCGCCTCATTTATATTCCACGCGATGAATTCGTATCGATGGAATTTGGAACGGAAACGCTGGGTTTGATTGCCGCTTCCGGATGCCCGACTTGATATGCCTCGATCGAATTAAGTGGACGATGATTAACACGAGTGTTTTCTCTGAAAATTTCCCTCAAGACTTGGGAAATTAATTTATCGAAACGAAATCGAAGCTTGGAAAGTTTCTTGATTAGGATTTACAACTCGATCGATTTTCTCAAGGAATAGCTCGTTGAATCGTAAGAGGAGCTGGATAAGAAACACGATCGTGCCTTTAACGGGTGCTCTTCGAAAATTCTGAAAGAAATTTGAAACTCTTGCCAAATTGCCATTCGAAACCAATCGGTTCGTTTTTCGATTGTGATCGAATTAATCGGATCTCTCTCGATATTTTCAACCTCTTCCTCTTTCTCCTCGACGAGAGATTATAAACGATAATATTTTTGGATTTATCGATGAAACCGCTTTAGAGAAAAAGGAGATGGAAAATGCATACGTGGATTGAAATATATGTAAATGTAATAAATCGGATACGAGATGGAAGCGAATGTATAACACGGGAAAGTAGTCGAGTTCCGAAAAGAGAGCTCGGTCGACGTTCCGTTGATGCGTTTCTTCCTGTTCGAATATCTTGCATTGTAACGCGGTTCACCGAGCCAATCCCCCATGTCCGACCGACAGGTCTTACATTTCTTTACTTTTCCAATCTTCCCTTCCTTAGAAGGGAAGAACATCTTAACAATTTCCCCGCATTTCTATCCCATTCCCGTATCATCATCTGCAAATAAATCCCGAGAACGCCCATGTTATTCCAAATGGATTACCTTTAAACCAATCTCTCGTTCCTCGATTTTTGCACATTCTTTTTACTCGCACGCAACGCTGTACTATATTTTCGACGGGAAATGTTTTTTCTAGGAAGCGTAATCCTGCTTCTTTCTTGCTTCCTTTTTCTTTTCTTTTTTCCATCTTACTTCCATCCTTCGATTCGCCGGAAAGAAATACACTTCAAGAAATACACTGGATTGAAATCCAATTTTTTTATCGAACGAACGAAATTCCATATCGATTTCCCAAAAACGATATTCCCCAAGAAATTGGCCGATCGAATGGCCGCGTAAAACCGCGGCGACATCCTGCCAAATTACCCCCTCCCCCCGGCCAACTGGCTGTTATGGAATTTTTTACTAGTTTTCCAGCCACTGGCTTTCCATTGATCCCGCGGAATCCCGTGGTTTTATTTAGCATAAAGTTTTACGCGACGACGGCCACCATCCAAGCTTCGATAACAACGCCCAACGTTTGTGGAATGCTTTCGATGGAGGGGGGGCAGAAGGAGAAAAATCTCCAGTTACGTCTCCAGAGATGGGACACGATTTTTGTCACAGTTGACCGTGACGGGTAAAAATCTCGAAAATGGAAAGGAAGGGGACGAGAGGAAATAAAAGGAAAGAGCGTATCAAGGGTGTATATACATGAAAATATGAAAACTCGATCGAGAAATAATTTCGAAAATTTTAAGGATTAATAAAAGAGTGTGCGGATATCGTGCGGAGAGTTGGATCAATTAACTCACAATTGAGAACGTAACTAAGTTAAAAATCTGGAATAAAGTTACTTTAAGTAATTGCTCGTTAAAATGCTCACGAACAACATTTATTCGATCCGTTTTTCCGTACAACCTCGGCCGTTACAATTATATCCGATTATTATTATCATTATATTTCCAACAATAAATTGTCCAAGTAACTTTATTCGTAACTTCGACTTATTAAATTTTCCCCATCGTTGGATACGATGTTTTTCGTTTTTGTTACGGAACGATCGATCGATCAATGGTAAAAACGAGAATGTCGAGTCGAGAGAATCTTATTATTATTATTATTATTATTATTATTGTTATTATTATTATCATTATTATTATTATTACTATTACTATTATTATTATTATTATTGCTCACCGTGTACCCGTCGTAAGTCCACGAACCAAACTTCATGAAGCAAGTCTGCTCGTCAAAGGGGAAGTACTCCACGTCGATCTCGCAAAATGATTTATAGATGGCAGGCGGTTTCCACACGACCTTCCCCGTATGGTGCAAAATTGCCTTGGTCATAATGGTCACCTCGTAGTTGCCATCGGCGCTGAAAACAAAATTAATGTCCATCCTGATTTATGTCCCCTTTTTACCCGCCCTCGTTAGGGCCCCCTCCCCCCTTCCAATATGAAATTCGCGCGCCCCTTTCATTAATTAATCACGCACAACCACGTTTCCTTTCCTACCTACCTATCTACCTACCTACCTATCGTTTCATCCTTATCCAATCGATCTCGTTACGACGAAACTACTCGTGAAAAAAATATTTCTCTTCTCTTTCCTCCTCCTCCTCCTTCTTCTCCTTCTCCTGTTTTCTCTTTCCTTTTCTGTTTTTGTTCTCGTTAAGAATAAACTTCGATTCGAACATTCAGAGGATACTGGATGGAGAGGGGAGGCAAAGTTTCAGCGGGTATCGGAGATAAGAGATAAGAAAATCCTCGGCGATAAACAATGAAAGGTGGAAATGCGCGCGGAGCGCTACACACACGCACACACACACATAGGAGGAAACACACAACTGTGGAGGAATAAACTCGGCGGGATAACGGGTACAATACGCGCGGGTGCTGCTGTCGTTGCTTGCAATTGCACGACTTGTTGCGCTATTTTCCACCCCCCTCCAACCTTATATTATATTAGCCCCTTCGTCGATTACCCTACCCTCCTCTCCCCTCCTTCAATCCTCATTTTCTCGATAATCGTCGCTTCGTAATTCGATTCGATTTTTCAATTCCGTTTTCTCTTTCTTTTTTTCCTTCGATTCTTCTCCAACAATACGAATATTATTATACACGAGCCTGAAAGATCTCTCGTGGACGATTCGATGAACATTGCAACGAATTGGATTCTATGGTGCAGAGTCGTGGTATGATATTGAAAAATCGCGCGGAGAATCGCGTTTGAATCTCTAATATGAGGCGAGGCGGCAGGTGCGAGGTGATTTCGAGCGGATAGCCTCGAGGATGAATAAACGCTGCTGGGAATTGGGGTTGCGCACGTGCAACCCCCTCCCCTCCCGAAACAAAGGTGCGGCTTTTTATCGTAAATGAAATATTAACGGCAAGACTTACGAAAATAGGCCTGTAAAATTATCTCTTGTTACCAAGTAATCTTTTGTATTTATTCCGTAAAAGGAAAAAAGAAAGTGACGCTTGGAGAATGTTATTACATCGTGCGTAAAAGTGAAATAAATATTATTACGAAACGATAAATTTCAGTTCATCGATGTCCAAATGTTCACTTCATTATCTTGATAATATATTTATGCGTGAATCGAGAATCGCTGATTTTCTTTCCACGATCTGTACAACACACTTTATTCCTATTTTCTTTATTAAATACACTCTTACTCTTTTACTTACTGCTACTTTTGGCCAACAACGTTTCACAACATTATTGTCCTAAATATTAAGGACGAGCGAAGAAAGTATTGAAAGGAGCGGCAACAAAGTGGTGGCGAGGAATAATATTAGGAAAGCGGAGATGATCACGACGGATTATTATCGCGACGGGGAAAGATGAAAGTCGGGAATGGCAGCTTCGTCACTTTCGACCGATTACCAAAAACGGCAAACGTCATCGGCGCAGTCGAGAATAGAAACACCGCAGAATAGTTTCGCGCTCTTGATTCCGGTTGTAATCCGCTTTGAAGACACGTGCAAGCGGATTTGCAGCGTTTAGCATTAAACCGGGACCCCTTGATCGTCGCGGGGGCTTTGTTTGCTACGAAACTCCAGCATCGGATAAACTTTCCTTCATCCTTGTAATCAGGTTACCTAGAGAACCTACTCTCCTCTAGTTGAAGGATCTTTCGAAACCACGACTCATTCTCGAGTTTTATATATATATATATACACATTTATATACATAAACATATTCCCTTTCTTTTCTTCTTTCCTTCCATTCTTTCTTCAACGACGTAACTTCTTGCTCCATCCCTTAAGGAAACTTCTTGAATTCTTGATCATCGAAATCATCGAACGATCGTGATAGTCGTTCCCCATCGAGACGGCAGGGGTGGAGATTATTATCACAGGACACAGGAGGCCACTTCGATATCATTACCACTAATTGCAAGCGTGGTGGTAATAATTCCTCCAGGAGGTAGCGCGCAACAAGGCGGAGGCGCTCCGTCATTGGCAATAAATAGTTGCCAGGCTCCATGATATCCGCGCGTGAAACCGCATCTTCGACCCTCTCCCCCTCCCCTTCTCTCGTGAGATACGACGACGATCGTTTCATAAATCCAGCGAGGAGGGATTCGATCGAGGGTGCGCGCGTGTCCACGAGGGTTACGCTCGGTGGATTATATAGGGAGGTGAATCCCTGTATAGGGAGGGCTATCTAATTCGCATAAGCACGGCTCGATACACCGAGAATTAGCAGCGGGCCGCCGGCTAATTCGTGAGGGGGGAGGAGGGGGATTAACCGTGCAAAATTGCTCGGAGACCGAGCGGAAGTCGATGCGACCCGAGGCTTCCCCTCTCCCCCCCCCCCACCCAGAGAGGGGGGAGAACAATGCGTCCGCCGGTCGATTATAATTCCGCGGCGAGCGAGCCACGAAAGGCTGACGTTCTAAACGCACCGCGTCTCCTGCTTCGAATCCACCAAGCCCGGACCTTTGTTCCTCGAAGACTCGGGAGGAACTCGTTTCGCTTACCGACCACGATTCGACGGCAGGGAGTAAGTAATTAACGAAGCTTGCAACGGGGACGAGAAAGGTACCTTTGGATGGGAGCTACGTCGAAACTATTAACCCGAAAGAGCTAGTGTTTCTCTCGATCGATCTTTTTTTTTTTTTTTTTTTCTATCTTCTCGATTCTTGAGCCAGATTGTTGAGCGTTGATATAAAATGATAGAAAAATAAAATTACTGTTATAGAATTTAAAGTTCATTGAAATTTTATATGTGTTTTTTTTTTTATTATTGAATGTTGCCAGCAACATCACTGTTTCATAGTTGGTATCTGTTTGTTTCTCTTCGATAATACACATATAATTAAATATATTCGTTCAGATAAAGCCGTACATTTTTATTTATTCTTTTCACTGTCAACAATTACTTTGAATGATTACTGTTATTAAAATAATAATAATTTATTCGTAATTATTTTAATTGATCCGCAATTTTTCTCTGTAAATCTCCGCCATTTTATCTGCGAATTATTATTATTATTATTATTATTATTATTATTATTATGTTTCGAGAAAGGATAAATTATCGAAGTAACTATTATATTTAAATTTTTCGCCCATCCATGGGGGATGATGAAACGCGAATCACGAGAAAAGATACGGAAGGATTCATTGTCCTCCGTCATCGTTTGGTGGAGGACGTTCAATTTTCGTCGGTCGATCCCTGCCGATGTCGATGCGTCCCTGGATTTGTCACTGGATCCGTTCCTTTGCATCCCTCTTCGCGTGTTCCTCTGGTCGTTCGAAACAGGGTGGAACTCACGGGAGAGATTCGAGGAGTTTATCCTCGCGTTTCAATCGCGTCACAGACACCGAGAACGACTCGTCTCCATTATCTGTACGGATTATCTAAGAGAATTGGCCGGGAGACGCGAGATTCGAGGGAAGAGGCGGCCGAAACTCGGGACTACTTTAAGTCGTTAAACTAATTCCACGAGTTAATCCACGCCCCGCCGAGCTCGATCCTCCTCCGCCTCCTCCTCCTCCTCCAGGATTAGAAATAAGAAAGGACCGTCTCTAATTGCCGCTTTTCCATCTCCCCCCCCCCCTTTTTTTGGGGACGAGGAAAAAGTAAAATTGGGACTTGGTTCGTGGTGGATGCATCCGCTCTTTCGAAATTCGAGTATTCGAGCTATCGAGCGAACTCAACTCTTGGACGCGAAACCTGGAACGCAGGTTTGATCTCAGACGTCTTCTGATTGTCCTCTTTGATGCATCTCAGTGCATAATTTTAAAAGTATTCGTAATAAGTTATCAAAGCTAACAGCGAATTCTGTTTACAATAATTACTATAATTAGGAAAAATATTAAAATGTTCCAGTTTCAGGACTGGTTATGTATATTTCAAAACTCAATGTCGAAGAAAAAGACTCCTTCTTCTTTAAACATTCTCTCAAAAAATCATTCTCAAAATCCCTCTCCTTTAACAGGAATTTACCTTGCGTGTTCACCATCTTTCGAATCCCAATGGAAAAATTGGAGAATACAATTCGTGATCCTGAAAATTTTCGTAAATCGAAGTTGAATTTTGCGCCGCCAAGCTTGATACGCTACTGGAAACGCTCCACGGGCACGGTCGGCGGATCGATATAAGTTTCAGTGGTACGACGCGATATTCCGCGGCCCGTTTTTGTCCTCCCCCTCCTCCTCCTCCTTCGAGCAGAGAAAGATCCCATTCCGGCCAATTAAAATCGAATCTTGGTGAGAGATCGATGAGAGATCGCGAGATCAACGAGACGTCCACGCGCTTTTCTCCTCTCGCGTCGGCATTGTTTTTTTTTTTTTTTTTTTCTTTTCCTTTCGAAAGACGCCTCGAAGAAAAGAAGAGAAGAACTTGGCAAGAAGGAGGAATTCCGACGAAAGAAGCGCAGTACATAAATTTTCGTCGATAGCGATCTCTCTCTCAGGACGAGGGTCGAGAGTTATCGTTCCTATTAAAGGATTATCCGGGGGAGCGTATTTTTCTTTCGTTTACACGGGGGTATATCGCTAATTGCCAGCTCGTAACTCGTACTACTAATTTCAACAGATTATTAACAGTGTTTAACTTCAGTTTTAATTAAGATCCGTCTTTCTTTCTTGCTTCTTTTTTTCTCTCTCTCTCTCCCTCCCTTTTTCTTCTTTGCCTCGCTTCTTTTGCCACGAAAAGCAGATATCCTACGGTTATTAAAAACTGAACCGTTTATCACGGAAAAATTGAAAGTTCGAGAGAAAAGAAAAAAAAAGTATATTAAATTTGATCCCGGATCTTTACGAAAGCGCGTTTAAAGTTTAAATATACGGTGAATTCTCGAAAAATGAAATAGAAATAAAAAAAAAAAAAAAAAGAAGAAGGGAAGGAAGAAAGACATTT